ATTGTACGATTGCAAAATATTTCTTGGCACTGTGAAAAAACCTCCTGTTATATAAAATACATAGAACTGCATTTCACCATATATTCTTGTGTAAAGTTAATCATAAAAGTTTTACGTTTCTGAGTATCTGTAATCCTTCCCATGTCAGAATTCATAACTAGATATGACCTAGAATAACTCTCACATTCTCAATGTGATCCTAAGTTCACATTCCACCCTCCAGTACACTCACACCAAAGTAAACACATAAAAGGAATTTCATCTTCTTTGGTGTGTACTTAAATACAGGAATTCATGTCACCAGATCAACAGTGTTTCTTGGCTCCTTTCTCCCTTCTTGAGATATAAATTGGGCAGTTCAAAGGAGATGTAAAGAACAAAGCAACAAGTTGCCTTACCTCAATAGCTGCTTTGAGCCAGGGATTGCCCTTTGCCTTACCTTTAAGGTATTCTTGATTTGGGATGCCCTGTCATGTTCAGTAATACTGATGACCACTATTGGGTCCACCCCCTTGGGAGTGGTTTCTCAAAGGTAAAGCAGAAAGCTACCTAATGCTGTTGGTGCATTTTATGGCCTACTAAACATAACTTATTGAACAGTCTCAAATCTCTTGTGAACCCACAGTGCTTCAAAGTCATTATTTTGACATCCGTGACAGTATCATTGACCCTGAACTGCAGGAGATTAGACAAGTACTGAGTTGTCCAAAGAAAATACCCCAGAGTGTGCTTTTCAGATATCCCTCTCATATGTATTGACTTTGTTTTGAGTTAACTTTGATTTTCAAAACTGAGGTAGAGCCAAAAAGATGTCGGAATGCCAAGCAGTAGAATAAAGTTAGGAAAAACTAGGTATTCGATACACTAGAGCAACTTGGTAAGCTTCACAAGGGAAATCACAAAATCATAAAGCTAGAGGGGATATTTAACTCTAGTTCATATTCTTTTCACCTTACAACTGAGGGAAATAGGGTCAGATTATATAAAATCATCCAAATAAAGCCCTGTGGCCAGTCCATGGAAAGACTGCAGACTAGAACTCTTGTTTTTCACTTTCTTGATTATGCAAATCACTGAAGGTAAACTTTTAATGTTTAGTTGCTTTGCTAATCAATAAACTTACTAATGAAGAGCTATGTTGCCTATCTAAACATATGCAACATAAATGAAATGCATATCACTCATCTTTTTTCATAAATAAAAATGAGTGAAATACGTTTCAGAAAACGGTTACATTTGGTATTCCCAGTGGCATGACACCAAAATTTTGCATAAGTGTAACTTTTATTGTTATCATTGCCTCACAGTATATAATAAATCATGGCAAAGTTATTTTTTGAAGTTGTATTTTCCCTTCTGGGTCATCAGATATTGTTCAATGGAACTGAACAATAGCATAACAATTTGAAGTAGGGATACTGAGCAAAACTATTTTAATAGTTCTACAAATGTCTCATAGTCACTACAGAAATCTGCAGAAATTTTATAGATATATATTAACTTGGAATTATTTATTTTTTATTAATAAGTTTTTTATTGTGAAAATACCATACAGAGGGGTTACAATTACATGAGCAAGGTAATGAGTACATTTCTTATCAAGCATTGTTGCCTCCTCCTTTGTTTCCCCTTCCCATCCCTGCCCTCCCAACTCGCCCCCGCATCTCCCCACTCCACCCTCTCACCCCCCACCCCCACCAAAGTTGTAAAGTTCATTTTAAAATTAAATGAGTTCAGATGGGATTTTCACAGATATCAAACATGGTATAGAATTATATTTAACATTGTGATAACAATATTAGAGAAACGAATCTAAAATTTGTTCACACTAAAGACAGGCAAAATACTTTTAATTTAAAACTATCTCTGCCATCTCCAGTAACATCTTTGCATGAGAGTTTAATTTGCTAATTAGACTGATGATACCTGCCTTCATTGTGAGTTATGGGTAATTAGATGTTACAACTGAACTACTGAAAGGGAATGGACCCCATAGGGCAGTTAACCAGCTAGATCATTATCTGAGACAAAGCAAGCTAATTATCACTATAAAGTTCAAACCAGGAGAATTGATCTCAACATCTAGTGGACTCTATTTGAGATCAGCCCCCTTACTGCTAACGAATTCACGCTGTGTAATCTTTTTATTACATTATAATGGACTTCAATATGACAAAAAAAATCACAGTATCAGAAATGCATAAAAGAGGAAAGAAAACCAATAGAGAATGTCCCACTGAGATCCAGAAATATTTTTGTAAACCAGTGGAAAAAAGAAATAAAACAAAATAATATGAAAATCTAAATGGGACATTGTGACTATTCCTGAATGACCAACAACCCTTTCATTTCCAGTTTGGAGCATGCAGGAAATGATAATATTCTAGAGGGCTTTCCTCTTATCCAGCCATAGGAAATTATTCCATTCTTTCAATAGAGACCCCTGTCATCCCTGAAGTCAGTCAGGAATGAACAAAATAAATGCATCTTGGAATGAGCAAATGCTACTTAGAATTGTACAACTGACAAAATAACAATGAGGATTGAAGAAGGGGAAAAACACTATTTTGGTGAGCTTAATAAATACTTGTGATCGACTTTCAGTCTCTAGGAACTGTCTAAATACTATTTCATTCTCTGGCCCAAACAACCAATTTAAAAATAAATTAACAGAATGCCACTTGTTTGTAAATGGTTGCAACAGAAAGGTCGCAAAGCCTAAATCAATTCCAATGGCAATATCACAAAGGTTCCTCAAATGTTTGTTACAACAGGACATCCTGAAGACACTGGCACATACAGTACCCTCGTATTGATCACTTATCACTTAGTCATTGTCTTGGATTGTGCAACTGTGTCACTCATTTCCAATTTGGTTCCCTGACAAGATCGTAAAGCTTCAGGCTTATTTACAAGTGTTGCTGTGCTTTGTTGTCTTAAGAAAGATCTTTCTTTTCAGCATTACTCAGGGGAGCCAGTGGGCCTTGGGGTGGTGGGGAAGGGAAAGGGAAGACGATCTGAGCAGTAGGTAGGTTTCTAGAGAGTAGACTGCTTCGCAGACAGCACCAATAGACACATAAAATTGTTTCTTGGCAGAGACACTGCTGTATGGTTTATAGGCTCCTATGTGGGAGTATATTGTTGCCAAACTTTTCCTTTACATTTGCAACCAATATACTATGAATTATCAAGCCTTCCCAGGACATAGAAACTCTGGCTTTTGTTGGCTTTTTTTGTTTGTTTCTTTTGTATTTTAGACACAGTGCTCAAAGGCTTCAGAGAAAAAAAAAGTAGGTTTTCTCTTCCTAAGTACAAGTGACACATTGAAGTCACCAATCATTGCCTTAAGCGGTGTTTCTTAGGTGAATGCTGCGAGCTCCATTACCAAAGACTACCTCACAGCTTCACTGTGCAACCTAGACAAAGAAAAACATCCCAAATCCCTTACATAGTGTGGGTGAGAATATCCAAACATAGTCTTTGCACAACCTACTATTGTAGAGACCTTCCTCCCACGACTGCATCACCTCCACAGTCTGGAATCTCTGTTTTCCATAGTCTCATCTCCACCTCCCAGGAAGAACAAAATTTTAGAAGAGAATATATTTAGAGCAAAGTTACCTCCTTGAAGGATCCCACTGTATGTGCTGATAGTGAAAATTAGGAAATCAAATATTTTTACTTGACCCATTTGTGAAATGCTTACAGCGAAATCAAAAAAGGACAGCTGAGATCTTTTTAATTATACTAACAAGGCAAATAATAACCCTTTAAATTCAAAGAAACTTCAATACAGAGCAATTCTGACGTCCATTCAATTGGATAGTGGATTATAGGTTATGGATTATTATATTACATATTATTATATTAATAATATAACTAGCATCATATGTTATTATATTATGTGTTATAGTAGGACTATTAGAATATGTATTACTCTGTATGCATTCCCTACTGCTATGACTTATAGGAGGAGAATTATAGAAATGCCTTTGATTATAGACCTGCAGAAACTGGCAAACACAAAAATAATGTGCCAATACTAAGATTCCATTTCAAAGAATATTAGGTCACACTTGTCAAAAATCCAAAAACTCTCCCATAATGCCTTAGCTGTGGGAGAGGGAAAGCAGAAGTTATATGACTATAAAAACATAGCCCATAGATAGTTACCCAATGCGGGTACTTGGCTTTAAAAGGATGGAAACATTGTCCATTTTGACACAGGCAATAAGAAACATTTCATTCTGTAAATAAGTAACCAGAACTGACCCTTTCTCCACTGTTTATTTTTGATTAAGGGAAGAAACATTTACAAATTTTAAAAGCTAAGGCATAGCTCCAAATCTTAAATAACTGAGGTTATGGTGGCTGTCAAGTATTTCTTCTGCCTTCCATTTCCACTTCGGCTTCCATATCATCACCTTCCCAACTTCAAACCAAAAGCCAAGGCTGGGCTAATTTAGCAATTTGTTGTTACCTTGTAGGAGTATAAAGTTCCTTGGTTCTTGTTGATTTAACAGATTTTTCCTTTCTCGTTTTACATGCAATATTTTCAGCACACAGAATACCAGATAAAGCTTTGCTGTAAAGAGCCCTCTTGTTGGGAAAAGCCCATATGCCAGGATATTCATCTGACTTTACACAGCAGGAAGCAGAGGGTCTGATGGCTGTCTTGGCCAAGGGCTGGCCCAGATTAACATGGTGGCCACAGGCCAGCAGTTGCTGCATGACTGAGCCCTGGATGTGTCATTGACTTTGACTGCAGTGAAACCTCAAGCAACCCTGGCAGTTTACAAAGCATTCTGGGAAACAAAGCACACAAAATACTGTATTAGTATCTCTCCTCTAGATGAGGGGAAAAGAAACACAGAAGTTTTTAAATAGGACCCTGGGATTCATTTTTCACATATTCACTGGATACCCAGTATCCAGAAATCATTCTGCTGTGGTTAATATTCTGCTTGTATTCATCCCGTGCGTTTTCTGTTCTTCCCTAGAACACTTGAAGGATAAGTTAGAAGAATACATGGCTCGGTTTTCCAAAGTGAGGATTGTGCGCACTAAGAAAAGGGAAGGGCTCATCCGGACCCGGCTCCTGGGGGCATCTATGGCCAGAGGAGAGGTGCTGACTTTCCTGGACTCCCACTGTGAGGTCAACGTGAATTGGCTGCCCCCACTCCTTAGTGAGTACTATTGTCACTGTGGCTCCCTGAGAAGCAGAGGAGCTGGGGGAATTGGACCCTGCAGAGGGAATGCAGAGTTTGCTTCTGTTTAGTTTACACCCAGCAAAAGCTACAATTGCAGATGACACCAAGTGCAGGAATCTAACTGAAGGTTAGAAATGAATCTTTTATCTTTGATGTCCTCCTTCATTGCCGTTAAACCCCTGAAGTAAACACTAAAAGAAAAATACACCTCTAAACTTTCTACCCTATAATTACAGAAAGATTAAAATATATAACCTACGTACATGTATATTTTGTTATGGCAACATTGTTTATAAAAAGATAGAAAAAATATCCTGTAGCCTAAGAATATATAAGGCATTTTTAAACAATTTCTAGGGCTTATAATGTAATTTGTTGTGGTTCTTCCCACTTTTGGCACAGCTCACATTGATAAATAATCCCCATATTTTCATAGAAACCTCTCGATGACTCCAAGCTCTTTTCCAAGGGATATGTCTTAAATACTCACTGTCTGGCTGAGAGGAAGGGAAAGGAGACTGTCACTTCATACTTGAACTGTCAGCAAGATACACAAATTGAAAGTAATTCAAGCTAGAAAATCTAAGTATGACTCCATTCAAGCTTCAATATTTTTGTTTGGATTTTACAGTGTAGCCAGATAGGAAGTCCACTTGTGGCTAAGAAATAAATTGTACACCTAAAGAAAAAAACTCTATCTGAAAACTTCTTCGCATACATGTCTTATACTCCTTCTTATACTTGTAGATTTCACCAAATCAACTTTTCTTTTAAATATAGCTCTGACCTCAGAAGTAAAGCCAGTAACAACTCCCTTCCCCATTGCTGTCCCAGACAGAATTCTTTTATTCTTTTGAATTTTAGTTGTAGTTATTGAGAAAATACTTTTTAATTAGAGTAAACAAAAATGTATTAACTAAGCGCAAGAGGAGATAAATGAGTGGTAACGTGAGAGCCACGAAAGACAGTTGCTAGTGCAAAACAGAGCCAGACAGAATTCTTTACTGACTTCTATGTAGGATATCAGCTACAACCAGCCAACCTTCATTAGCAGAAGTTATGGGGGAAAAAAATAATCAAATGAAACTACATAGGATTTAAAACAGAGAACACTAGCAACAAAACACCTGCCATCATATTATGATGACCACTCAGACATCCTAATCAACGGTTGGCCCCATGCTCCTACAGACACTCAGCCTTTAATTAAAAGTACCTTGTCCAAGGACAAAGCAATTTAGAGCTCCATCAGCAACAGTGAGATTCCTCCAACTGAACTTGACCTATATAGTGTTGAATACTCAAAGAAGTCAGCAAAAGGTCTAATTTATTTATGAGCCAAAGCAATCACTAAATGCCAATTATGGAGTGTCTGATGACTCACTAAGAATCTAATGACAAAAGAAGAAGAAAGGTAGGAAAAGAAAGGAAGAAAGAAAAAGAGAACCCCAGAAATTGCTTTTCTCATTAAAGAATTTCATTTCCTGTAGGCCTGGTGGATAAGAAATGATTCAAGCTCAGGATCACTATCTTTTTTTATTTTCCTCTACCCATGTCCTGACACATTATCAACAATGGAAAAAAAAGAAAAGAAAAAAAAAAAAAACAGGCAGAGCTACCCAGTTTCTTGGTTCATTTTTCACCTTGGGATTATACCTGCATTTCAATTTCCTATTAAGAGTCTGTTTGTTTGATCCCTGGAAATTGAAATGTAGGCACAAGCCTTGGATGAAAAATTAGTCATGCGGCTTTCACCTTAAGCTAGTACAGCTGGATGAAAGCTGAAAGGAAATTTGAAGGGAAAGTTGACAGTTAATTTAACAGACTCATTCTCTTCGGGTCACCTTGGGACTCCTTGTTGGTCAAGGAACTTGTAAATCAACCTGATTCTGAATGTGATTGAAGAAAGTCACTGAAACCGTAATACTAAAATACCTGCAGAGGTGAGAGAAGAAATATTTCCACTGAAGCTCTGATGGTCAACTCTGACAAAGATATCCCCAGGGAAACACAGTTTAGATAAAGATTAAAACCCATTGCAAGCTTCGCCCAAGTGAAAATGGATGCTTAGAGAACTCTTGATGGAGGTTAACTTGAAATAGTGCTGGAGATCCCTTTATCTACTAATTAACTCAGATAACCTAAAGGCCACCGTTAGCGCTCTCTGGCATTTTCCTGATACTATGTTGTCCAAAATTGCCATCCTTTTCACACTCCTGCATCCCATTGTCCTTTTACCCTCTTTATTTTTGTACCTCATTAACTGCTTTCTAAAACACTATGGAGTTGAGTTATTTATTACATCGGTTCACTGTTTTTGCTCCACTCCTAAAGACAGCAATGGTGGGTAGTGTTGCCTACTGCTGTATCCCACGAATCTAGAAACGTGACTGGCACATCATTTTTATTCCATAACTATTGAAACATGATTGATTGAATGGGTGGCTAAAAGGATGAATGAATAATGTAGACATGGAAGATCTCATATAGGACTTTTTTGTTTCCTCACAGTTTAATCAATGTCTTCAAAACATGGCACTGTGATTACAGCCAATAAATCCTGCCTGCTGCTATGGAGAAACTTCTGAAGCAAATGGACAGTTTCATTACTATACAAGCTTATCCCTGACACCAATTACATTTACTTCAGAAACTAAAAAAAAAAAAATACAATAAATGCAGAAGTAACCAAGCTCCATAATAGTTCTATATGATTCCCTTTGTTTAATGTCATATGCCACATCCAAAGGTCTTCTAAATACTAAGAGAGCAGGTATTCATAGAATCCTGTCTTTGACAGGATTGGTTTATTATGATAAGTATCGATCAAATGCCCATTCTTGGGAGAAAGATACTTCACTCATCACTATGTCAAGTGAATCAAAGTAGGCACATGCCAGTTCTCTGGGCTGGTGGTTAATAACAATATCTGCAAGGGAAGAGAAAGTATTAGAACAGAAATGTATGTGTGTATGCATATGTGTATATGTATATATGACAGAGAGAGAGAGAGAGAGAGAGAGAGAGAGAGATGATCTTCTCAGACAACGTAGAAAGGCAAGTTTTAGAAGTGATGAACTAAGTAGAGATCGTATCCTGGTTATTGTTCTCAAAAGTTAAGTGACCCTTGAAAAGATAACTTCTCTGAACTCACTTTCCTCATACATAAATTGGGATGACAACAAGAGCCACCTCCTAGGGCCACCAGGTGAACTAAAAACAGCATACATATAAATCACTTAGTAGTTGTTCAAGAATGTAATAATATCAGGAGTCATCACAATAGAACTAGACTATCATATTTTTTGGATAGGATAAGAAAAGATGAAGGGATAAAGCTTTGGTCAATCTGAGCAAAATCTTTGCCAAGCCAAGTGCCAGTGGTTCAGCCCTGTCATCCTCGCTACTCAGGAGACTGAGCTGAAGATCATAGTCAAAGCCAGCCCAGGCAGGGGAGTTTGTGGGTCTCTTACCTCTAATTAAACCCCAAAAGAAAAAAAATCTGGAAGTGGAGCAGTGGCTCAATTGGTAAAGTGCTAGCCTTGGGCAAAAAAGAAAAAGTAAATAACAAAGCTCAGTGACAGCTCCCAAACCCTGAGTTCAAGCACACACGCGCGCACACACACACACACACACACACACACATATACACACACACTTTGTCAAAGCTGAGACCAAATAATATTATGAGTGATCTGTCATCATGTAGAGAGAAATGGTCACCATGATTGCCACAAGATGAGATGCTACAGAAACCATAAAGTTAAATATTTACATGTTGGAAACTTCCAAAAGCAGGCCCACATTTCCTCAGCAGGTGATAGCTGAATGCTTGAAGAAACACAAGTGCTGTGTTGGATGCATGATAAAATGACAGATTGGGGACAGGTCAGAGCAAAAATGTGACCGAGGTAAAACTAAATGGACTCCACAAGTCTCTCGGGGAAATAACTTTCTTAAAGAAAAATACAACAGTTCTAATTGGACCTAATCACTGTCCCTTCACATTAACACAGCCTTTGGAGACTCCTGCAAAGTGCTCAAACACCAACAGGGAAGCAAGGCTGCATGAGTTATGCATTTAAGGGCTCTCTAAGCTTCTCTGGGCTGGAAAATGATAGATGACCAGGGCAGGCATGTCATTTCCTATTTTGTGCTTTCATTTTTCAGACCAAATTGCACTAAACCACAAAACCATCGTGTGTCCCATGATCGATGTGATTGACCACAATCACTTTGGGTATGAGGCACAAGCTGGGGATGCCATGCGCGGGGCCTTCGACTGGGAAATGTACTACAAAAGAATTCCCATCCCTCCAGAACTCCAGAGGGCAGATCCCAGCGACCCTTTCGAGTGAGTAGAAGTGGAGGGAGGGGCCACGGGAGAGAGGGCAGAGGACTCATTCTAGGCATGTCAAATCCAGGACCCAGGAGGGCAATTATCTCTGATAAAATGGAATAAAACAGGTGGTAACGATATGCAAAACACTAGGAAAAGGTCAGACCTACAAGATATAGAAAATTAAAATTACAAGCTGTGCTGAATAACAGGATCACTTCTCAACCATTGCTAACTGTAGCAAAAACTATGTATGGTAGAAAAAAATCAGAAGCTAAGCATCAGCGTAATGAGTTAGGATGACATGTTTAATCTTAACTGCTCAGGAGGCTGAGATCTGAGGATCAGGATTCAAAGTCAGAGTAGGCAGGATAGTTCATGAGATTCTTTTCTCCAATTAACCACCAAAAGCCCAGAGGTAGAACTGTGGTAGAGCACCAATCTTGAGCAAAAATGCTAAACCCTGAGTTCCAGTACTCACACACACACACAAAGAAAAAATTGGAAAGACAGAAGGAAGGGAGGGAGGAAGGAAGGAAGGAAGGAGGGAGGGAGGGAGGGAGGAAGGTGGGAGGGAGGGAGGGAGGGAGGGAAGGAAGGAAGGAAAATACATATGAAGGGAGGTGACATTGGTCAAGATTCACTATATTCATCAACTTTTTTATATGGCACCTCCTTATACAACTAACTTAAAGGTGATTTAAAAAATAAAGAGATAATTTTCTAAATGCCTACATTGCAGAGAATACATGAAGAAGGCCTACACACACAGGCTTTTTAGAAGTTCTCATCTTCAGTTCTCTATGTTCTTCCTACTTTTGCCCAGGGGATTACTGGAATTACTTGATTTTTATTTTTCTAGCCATTGTCACAGAATATGAAACTGAATTTAAGCCTATACTTCCTTTTAGAACTTATCTACTCAAGATAAAAGTCAGTGTATCTGAGTGCTTCTATAACTTACAAGTAGAAAATTTAATCAACATATACAAAGCAAATAATCTTATGATAACCCTACACCTAATTTAAGTACGAAAGAGGAGTTTCCATGCCAGATGCTAGTTGTTCAAGCCTATAATCCTAGCTACTCAGGAGACTTGAGATCTGAGAATCACAATTTAAAGCCAGCCTACACAGAAAAATCCATGAGCCTCATCTCCAGTTAACCAGCAAAAAGACAAAATTAGGAGTATGACTCAAATGGTAGAGTGTAATCCTCCAGTGAAAAAGCCAAGTGAGAGGCCCTGAGTTCAAGCTCCAATACTAGTGCATTCATACACACACACACACACACACACACACACACACACACACACACAATTACAATATCTGATTGATTTCTACGGAATGATCACTAATGGTAACAGTAAAAGTTGTTCAACAGCTAGCTCAGAGATGGTCTATATGGCCCCTTTTGACCTCATTAAAATCTGTACAACTTCCAGTGACTATATTTTTATTAGTACCAGACAAATGTTTGTGTTAAGAACCCCATTTAAGCTGCATTAAAATCAATATATTGTCTTTTCATCATCAAATGCAAACCATGGGAGTTTGCAGTAGAGAAGCAGCTGCATACAAAAGGCACTTCTGTGATGCCTTCACTTTATTTAAATTCTGACAAACATGTAATAATCCTCCGAAAAGTCTCCTCCAACTCCGTCTGTACAAAGGGGAACTCCAGGGAGCGGCGAAGGGGCGTTCAGAGGTCTTCAGTTGAAGCCATTGCCTTCGCAAAATGAAGCACCCTTGTCAAGCAGCCAGAGCTTCTAGAGCTAGAGCTCCTCTGACGCTCAAATTCCTCAGAAGTGTTTGAAAAGAACTGACTAAGGGCCTTTTAACTCCCCCAAGGCATCGACCAAAATATCATGAATATTCAAAAGGTGTTTTTACAGATCTAACTCAAGGAGTGTCTAATAAACATTTAAAGGGGCCCAACTGAGTTGATCCCCAGACTTTCCCAGAGACGATCATGTAAGAATCTGGGGATAACGCATGCTAAGTGAAGTAAGTCAGGTCCAGAGAGACAAAGGACACATTTTCTCTCACATGTGAAAGTTCAGTCTAAATTCTCAATAAGTATGCAAATGTATGCATATATGCAAATATATACAAACATATTGACTTTATAGATATGGTATAACTAAGTTATATACCATACTTAACAGAGGAGGATTCTAAAGGTGTAAGTCCTTTGAACAACTAGCTGTAGTCTAACAAAATGAATACCAGAAAGGTAGAACATGTGTGGTAGGACAGGGGTGTGAGGTTGAGGGAAGGGGATAAACACATGGAGAGAGGAAGGGTAAGTAAACATGGGCATAGTATTCAAGGTATGGACACGACAGTGGAACTAAGTAAACTGAGGGAATGGGTGGAGTTGGGAGAAATGGGGGAGAAGGCTGATGGGGGGAGAGTGATCAAGATGCTTTGTACTCACAAACTGACAGGTGGAATTCAAACCCGTTTGTGTCACTACTGAACAATAAATACATTTCTTTAAAGAAAAAAAAATAAGGAAAAGAAAGTCTTGAGAAAGGAGGTTCAAGCGAGAGAGGTAATAAGCACAGGAGGCGATGAGTATGGTCATTCACTTCTTTAGCCGAGCTACAACGTGAAGGTATTTCAAAACAGGCACAACATAAACATATACATTTTTAATGTATCAAGTTAAGACATGAACAAGAAGGCTTAAAATAAAGCAAAATGTTGTTTTAGTATTTACAAAATCAAAAAGTATGGAGGGGAGAGAGAGGGGATACAATAGGACCCTAAACACAGGACAACAACGCTCATTCATTGTCAGCTGATAGGAGGTCCACACCCCCGTGCGACCAATGCAGGTAATCACCCGTGAAGGGCTAGAATTCATCTATGATGGCTTTACAAATACTGGGATAGTGGCTGATGGTAATGGGCTTTTACTTCGCTTCCACTGTAATAGCAGAATGGGGCTCAGTTCCACCCCCGCAAACAGTGGGATCAAAATACTACCAGAGAGCTCTCCAGTGGCATCCTTGTGAGTCTTCTCAGAGGCTGCAGTGACAGTGAAATTTTTTTGTCAGGCAGACCCTCGGCTGAAGCTATCTCAGCAGCAAGCACCTGGCTTAACTGGGGTTCTGACAGGATTGGTCACTTTCAGAATGAGATTACCCCTTGTTCCTGTCACCCCATTTTTCTTAAGGTGGCTGCTGTCCTGTCAAAAACTGCATGAGCCTATTGAATATTACTGTCTCTCCACTTTAAGTCCTCTTGATTCTGAGGAATGTGGACACTTGAGTCTTTTGTGTTAAATGTAGCTTCCAGAGGTGTCCACTTTGATCTTAAAAATTGCATTTGCCTTCCTAATAATAAAAGAATGGTTACGCCTGTGTTCTGAGCAGGGTGTCAGCAATTCTATTACTATGCCAGTCACCTGAATGTTCTCCTAAACAGACATGCTTTAGGCTAAAGTTTGCTTCTCTAGATACACAGAATGAATTGGGTGTCCCTCTCTCATAGTCTTTCATGTTTCAAGAGGCTATTCGGTTTTCAGAAGCAAGAAAGGAACTAAAGAAGAATAAATAAATGTATTGCAAACCCCAAGACATTTCAGTAAATACATATGCAAAAATCATCTTTCTGTAGCAAGTGTATCAAATTGTCCCAAAGTACAATGCCTGAATTCTCTCATTTACTTTGCTATTATTTAAGTTTTCAGTGACTGACTTGATTATAGTAGTGGGTTTCTTTTTTAACCAGAAAATCCTGTAAAAAGGAGTCAAAGCTGATCAGTACGTAGTTGCTAATGAATTGGATTTAATTGAATTAATCAAAGTATTATAGTGCATAAGAATGTATTACTTCTCAAGCACTCAATTTCAGCATAATGCATTTTTAATCCTAGTGTGTGATGCAAACTGTACATCATGGTGTATTATTCCAGCCAAAGAATTCAAAATTTTCCTGCTTTGTGAACTGGAAATCCAGACCTTCAGTAATCTGAAGAAAAACAAAAAAGAAAAACCCATGAATAATTTTTGAACACTGAAAAGAAAACTTACATTGATAAATATATCCGATTGGGGGGGGGGGAGAATTGTTCATAGATTTTTAGAGAAAGTAGTATTTGTGTTTCCATTTATTGTGTGGCAGTCACAAATCGGATTGGATTGGACTGAAGAGAATCAGATGGGATGCATTCCAGGAACATATTTGTTTTATTGAAGTCTGAGGCATTGGTTGAGAGGATTTTTGTTTATTTGTTTGTTTGTTTGCTTGCTTGCTTGCTTGTTTTATTTTTCTTTCCACCGATACTGGGACTTGAACTCAGGGCTTTACATCCTCACTTGACTTTTTCCTGACTAGGAAAAAGCTTAACTTAGAAGTGTCTCGGAGTGTAGGCAACAATGACCATGACCTACTGTCAATCCAATTATTGGCACTTCTAATGCTGCAGAACTCCTGAAGGCCTGGGGGTCAGACCTGGAATTCTTGTGAGCTAGTTCTGCAGCCCAGAATGGGTGCACCTTACACTGGCTAAAAACTGACTGAATGCTATTTGTCTGTCAAAGAGACTTGTGTCACTATTGCACAGAAGTTAGAATGCCTTCCAAATTTTTCCTACAGTGTCTTCCTGTATTCTGAAGGAGACAGTGAAAAACTTGTTGACTTTCTATAGCAGCGAGGCATAGTAGCTCACATCTCTAATCCCAGTATTTGAGAGACAGAGGTGGGAAGATTGGGCCATTTAGGCCAATCTGGGCTACATTGAAAGTTCTAGCCCATCCTGTGCACATAGAGAGACTCTGCCCAGAAAGAAAGAAAGAAAGAAAGAGAGAGAGAAAGGAAGAAAGAAAGAAAGAAAGAAGGAAGGAAGGAAGGAAAGAAAGAAAGAATGATGTCACGGTGTGAAAGTTAGCGCTTATTATCTAACCAAATTTCTTATTGAATTAATGCCTAGAATGGCATCAAGCCTATCGGTGAGTTGTGTAAGAGACTTCCTAAACCAAGTCAATTTTCTCACAAATTTTTCA